GCATCTTGTCTTGATATCTGATTGATATAAGCCAGTCATTGAATTATTACATACATAGTTGGGTCTGTCGGGTGCGGGTGAAACTTCAAGTTGCGCTCCAGGCCCCTGGGACTTGCGCCAACTTTCCAGTCAAGTTTTGCCAAATTCGCGAATCGGCCGCAACGCAGGGTGGCGGTGGCAAACATGGAGGCAGAGAACATGAATATGTAGAAAGAGGAGTTTGTTTCAAGTCATAGACTTGGTTCGGGATAACTCGTCTCGCAGTAGATGTGACGTGACAGTCTAGTGTAGGACTATATGTAAGTGCGAAGCGTAGCTTGTAAGGCACTTCTTACAAGTTACGAGATTCTTCTGCAGTCTCGATGACTATCTTCCATTCCGTCATCAGCACCATCAGTACCATCAACATCAACATCGACATCAACATCATCAGCATCATCGGCATTAGTAGCACCATCTTTGCTCGTCGCCCACCAATGAAATGCCTTCAACGCACTTCCAACAGCTGCAGCCCCAGAAACAGTAGCATTCACCACCGCGATGCCAGCACCTCCCATCCCTGCGCTCTGCAGCGTCGCAAAGAGGCTTCCTGCGGCGACATTTCCAATACCACTCTGTATACCAGCGGCGGCCGATCCTGTGAGGGTTGTACATCAGCAACTGTGCATCGTGTCGCGTACCAACAAACAAGATGCGGGCTTTGTGTGTCTGAGATTGCTCTCATCTACTCATCTCTAAACTCTGACAAGACTTGACAGTTCATAGATCTCCACAACAATCTCTTGTAGAATCGAGACAAAAGAGCGTCAAAAAAGAAAGAACAGGAGATGGAAACGTACCAGCGACAGGCCCCAGGGCTCCGAATCCAAGGCCACCCAGCACCGGAGCTACTGCGAGGGCCGGTACAGCAGCGACGAGAACGCCAGCGGCCACGATGGCCGCGCTGTAGGGTCTTTTCGTCGCGGCGTCCATCGCATGCTGAAAAGAAGCCATGCTGAAGGAGTATGTCTTTTTTTTTTTGTCCTTTTTTTTTTTTTCAGAGTGAGGCTCTAGAATGTTCCGAAGAGAGACCAAGGTAGGTATCAGGGGCGTCTTGCGAGTCGATGGTGGGGTTTCACGGCTTGAGAGGAAGCAGATGAGTGTGAACTTTGAAGGGATAATGATAGAGAAGAAGAGACATCCAGTTCTGCCGCCTGCGTGTGGCAATGTATGGAAAGGAAAGATAAACCAGGTCCGATAAAGGCTCTACAAACGCGAAGAGAGCACGTGCTCAGCTCTCGATGAGAATTTGCTATGTATGGTTATGATTCATCGCAAAGCTGGGGCTCTACCCGCTTTGTGATCTGTCAAGTAAAAAGACTGCATATTGTTTGACGAGTCGCAGACTCGCAGGCGTGCCCTCTGTCGGTAAGCAGCGAGAGTCCGGATATTCGGTACAGGACCGCGTTACACAGTAGGAAATTATGAGCCGCGAAACGGGTTTGGCAGTGACAATGTATATCCTCTGCGCCATCGACTGTCCGGCCGTTCTATCGAAGCAGGAGGCTATTTATAGGTGCGAGAATCTGTGATCAAGAATAAGAATAAGCTGCGTATGGTGGGGTCTCAGACGCAAAAGACACATAAGAAGCTTTCGGGCGCAACAACCCAGCTTGAGACATACATTACTAGCAGCCAACTATCAACTGTTAACCCCTTTTTGCGCGCTGTGCTCCAAGTATAGCACGCGATACCCTTCCCGTATGATCTTTTGCCATCGATGAGTGTGAACGCACCATCCTCTATAGATGCGTGCGCTGATCTAGGCCCAACTTGCCCTGGACCCTATATCCTTCCCCCCATCCAATGTCCTACTAAAAAAAAAAAAACAGTAAAAGAAGAGTGAAAAAGTGAAAAGATCGCGTCGCCGTCAGAAAGTCCCCCGTCACTGAAGGCTAATCATGTCTGCCTCTCTTGACCGGGGGCGGTGACCTCGACACACTTCTAGTGTACCGTCTCTTGCCGCGCACAGGACTTGGAGAGAGACTATCCCGTCTCCTGCTGCGCACAGGGCTTCTAGATAGACTGTCCTGTCTCCTGCTGCGAACCGGACTTCGAGACAGGCTGTCTCGTCGCTTTCCACGCACAGGGCTTCGAGAAAGACTGCCCCGTCTTCTGACGCGCACGGGACTTCGAGATGGACTGTCCCGTCTGTTACTGGGCAGGGGGCTTCGAGACAGACTATCCCGCCGTATGCCGCGTACAGGACTTCGAGACAGACTATCTCGTCTCCTGCTGCGCACAGGACTCCGCGATGGACTATCTCGTCTTGGGCCTCTTGTTCCTCTTCTAGGTGGAGTTGGCGACCGTGAAGGAGATAGTGATCGAGAGATTGATCGTGACCCACGGCCAGACACAGATCGCCTGCGGCGAGGTGGCGAGGCAGAGTAGGAATCCCGACGACCACGTCGAGGGGGGCTTTGCGAGCGTGAGGGTGCGCGCAGTCCCACGCGCACGGGTGAACGGGAGCGAGAGAGAGAGCGCGTGCGCGTGCGTGAGCGTGAGCTGTAGGATGCAGAGCGGGAACGGGACCGCGAGAGCGACCGCGACCGCGACCGGCTGTCCGAGAAAGAACGAGCTCTTCTTCGACCGCGAGACGACCGTGACGTGGATCGCCCTCTGATTCGACGAGGAGGCGTCCTCGACCGCGACCGCGACCGAGACGAGTACGATGAGCCAGTATATGAGGAATAGCTTGACACGGAATCCGAGTCGGATTCTTCGGCCGCCGCCGCCGGAGCCGGCAAAGCAGGCTTTGGCATGTTCAGCAGATGCTCCCTCATCTCTTCCGTGAGAGCTCCTAGCCCGATACTGGTGAAGTAATTGATGGAGAACCGGATGTTGCGGGCATTGTCCTTGGGGAATATGCCCTCCACATTTGGTCGTAACATGTCGTCAGCCATCCTGGCCTTGAGTTTGGGAATGCCAATCTCTTCCACAATGCTCTGAAACAGAATCTTGATAAAGATACGACTGCTCGATGTAGTCTCGTCCTCATTCAGGTGAATCACAGACAGACAATGCCAGCCGATGGAGTCGACGCCGAGCATATGGCCGAAAAGTTGGGCAATGTTTCGAAGCTTGTTGTTCTCGTACCGGTGGATGGTGTCGTAATACTTGACAAACGCCTGTTCAAATAAATCGCACCAGAGACGGTTGATTTTGGCGAATCGCTCGCCGATCAAACCAAAGAATTTAGTGTATGTCTTTTCTTGTGAGCAACACTCGACGATCATGGAGGGTAGCTCAGGCTCCTGGCCAGCGGGAAGGTTTATCTTCATCAGTTTGTGCACGGCTTCCTCGGGATCGGCACTCGACATGATGGTCAGGTAGATTGTCCTTCGCAGATTGACGAGATCAGCATTTGACTGATCCTTGATCTCCATGGCCTTTATCTGCTCCGCTTCGCCTTCGTCTTCGTCGTCTTCCTCAGAGCTGTCGTCTTCATCGCCCTCGTCATCCTCGTGGTCACTCCCTTCACCCAGGATCTCGGCTTTGAGCTGCTTGTACTCTCCTTCGTGTTCCTCCCATTCCGCATCATACTTGAAAATGTTAAGTCCGTCCTGCACATCAATCTCACCATCCAGTTCCACCCGGTGCGTGATTTGGTCTTCCTCTTCAACCAAATCGAGCTCTTCCCTAATCGCGGGGTTGTCCTTGAACTTGTCCTTGCGCACTTGGAAAAGCACCTCGACCATGTATTGTGTTCGTTTGTCGATGTCGGCCTCATGTAAGATATTTCTGAACTGGTCGAACACAGCCACCGAAATGGACGGCTGCATATCCTCCAAGTACTGTCCCACTTCGCGGCAGAAGCCGACGGCGATTTCCACTCCATCATCCGTCGGCTTATGTAACAGCAAAAGCAGAATCTGTCCGGCGAGCATCTCATGCTGCACCTGCTGGTTGATTAGGTGGGCGAGAAACGTCGTCGACGAAAGACACACGGACTTGTCATTTCTTTTGAATCCCTTTCGAAACTGCATAATCAGGCGCATGATGAGAAGCTCACCAACCAGGGGCAGTTTGGTATTGACAATGGCCGCCATAGCCGCGTAGATGGGCGTGAAGGGCAAACTCGCGGCCTGAGCCTTCATGATGGAGCGACAGAAAAGCCCTCGGCCTCGAATCAAGTTCTCGCCAAATAGCTCGGGAACAATGTGTTTGATGTTGGCAGTGTTCACCTTGTTGATCAACCCATTGATACTTTTCTTCAAAGCTTCCCAGGCCATGCGTTGATACTCCTTGCTCGTCTTGTCGGTGATCTGGGATTGCAGCGCTCTCAACCTGGCGGGTGGAATATATGTGCCTCCCGACCTCATGGTCAGGAGCTTCTCGTACTCTGCCTTGGCCGCAGCCTGCTTTTCTTCCTCGCTTCGCACCGGAGGTGGCGTGCGCTCTCTGCGCGGCGGCCGGTATGAATCCCCATCTCGTTGGGTTCGCTGTACCCCTCGATCTCGATCACCGCGGTCTCGCTCACGACGCGGGATTCCCACCTCAGCTGACGCCATGGTTGGCTCCAGTTGGTTGTGTCGTGCGTGTGTGTGTATGTATTTCTTGTTCCAGACTCGCGTCGAGGAGGAAAGTTCGCAAGGGAGGTTATGGTGGTGTCCAAGAGGTAGCGTGCGCGGTGCGGTGCAGGCCGTAAGCAATAGTGACAGCGAGTAACTTGATGAAGTGGATGTCTAGAGGTATTAACAGAGCGATAATTGATATTTGCGAGTGGGTTGAGACACGTTGGTAATAGGCAAGGAGCGAGATGCTTCTTTGACAGAGAGATGCTTTGCAAGAGGTGGTTCAAAAGTGGATACAGCAAGCTTTTGGAGGTAGGTATGTACCTCGTACCTAGGTACCTAGGTACCTAGGTATGTATCGGAAGTTGCGTCGAGTTATGGTGCTGTGTACTACTCCGTAGTAGCACGTCATATATATATGTTTTTAATAGCTGCTTCATTCGACCTGGGGGGCTGGCGCAACGGTAGCGCGTCAGATTCCAGTTCTTGCAATGGGAATACCTGAAGGTTATCGGTTCAAATCCGGTGTCCCTCACCATGTCGTGTCGTTTTTTTGGCGGCGCTTCCTATTTTTACCACACACCTTTGGGACTTTTCTCTCCCATGTCATGTCTCTCGCAGTCTTATTACTTGCTTGCGATCTTTTCTTACTTTGCGACTTGGTCCAAACACTGGTTGATGGTCATGGATCCTTTTTCTTCGATTTACGACGTCTCTAGCATGGATATAACTTTTATGTAAGACCGCAAACTATCACTTTCTGGCTCTTCACTTCGAGTGTTTCTATTCGAGCACGAAGATCGCAGAGAGCAAGCAAATCATGGCATCTTTCTGAGCTACTTGACGCAAAACGTCATATTTCCTCAACAAGTGCTACCTCTCACTTGCTCATATTCCCAGAGTCTTTTCTTCACATGAGAAAAGATGATGCTCCAAGCAAAGTTGATGCTTTCATTTCGAGTGCGTCTTTCCCTCAGAATCTTGTCATTATGTGGCCTGGAAGCAAATGCAATACATATGTCGTCGTTATTCGAGGCCTCCCGTTACATCACACGAAAAATTCCCGCCAGTCAGGGTGTGTTCCGTGACGGTTCGGTTCAAAACGGCTTCTGCCCAACGCTGAAAACATATCCATGTCAGCTCAACCGCCGAGTCAAGTTTCTCCAGATGAGTGTGTTCCGTGCTTACATATTTCCTTCTGGCGTGAAACGGCACACATCGAAGAACTTGTATGGCTCCGACAAGGCATATGCCCTCGCACATCCGATCTTCGTCGTCGTAGACCACAAACACTGTGCTGCAACAAGGTATAACCGTCAGCAAATGAGCTTCCGCTGGCACAAGTCTCGTACGTGGATGCAGCAAAGTATTTACCCCAGTGTAGCCACGGCTCGTGGCCAGTTGTGATGGGTTGTCCCGTATAGAAATGCTCCTGCGACAGCCAAGCATGCATGCCCGTTTGGAGCGGGTTATCGTAGGCAGCATCGCATTGCCCAGCTGATTGTTCGTACAAGTTCTCGCCCTGACTCGGTCTATTCGGCCCTTGCGCGTGCTCAAACCGACTTCTGCCACTCGCCATTTCGTTGGCCCAAAACTGAGCATAGGCTTCGAGACCAGTATCCCAAGCAAGACCCGGAACTCCGTGGGCCTGTCGAGCCTGGTTGACCATGGCTAGGGCCTTGATAGCGTCATCGCTGGCGGCGAGGATTCCAATGACCAAGGCAAAGCAAGAGAATGCTCCCACGAAGACTCTCATTTTCTTCTCCTTGCAATAAGAGTTTCTATTTTCTCAGTTCTGGCGAGCAAGTATTTCACTCAGACGCAGTGTCGAGGACGGAGGGAAGCAAAGAAGGGCTTTCTCGTCAGTACTCGGGATATGCTCCTATACTTCTTGAGTATACGCAAGAAGAAGATTACACATTCATAAAGACTTGACATATAAGACAGCTCTCTTCAAGGTACTTCTCATCCCAAGGTGAGAAGGAACTGATCTCGTTCTCAGTCTCGACTAACAGCCCAAGACGGCAAGTGCCCCACGTAGGAAACCTCAACTGGGCAAGAAGCAAGGACTACGACTGCCAATGCAGTGATGCACTCTTCAGCGTTGCCATTAACCCAAAAGAAATAGCTTCATGTCTCATTTTGTGAGTTTGGCCTGCGAATACATGTAGAAAACTTCACACGGAGGCGCACCTGCTGTGGGTGAACGTATGCATGTTCTGTCAGGTTTTCCGCCAATTGGCCAACAGATCTTCCATCTCGAACGATTTACCTACCCATGAATCGAACCTTCACCAAGGGAATCCGCCAGAGGAGCCGCCAAAAGAGCACTGAGCTAGGGCCCCCATGAAATCCATACCCTCTCTATCATCCTTTCCGGTAGTTCTGGATGCCCAGCCTTCAGGGACCTCATCGTCTCATCAAGCATCTCGTCGGATACCTCATATAGTCTTCAAGGCCTGCGGCGGGAATACGTGCCTTATTGACAGGGGCACCATCCATAGCAGCCAGCGAAGAAACAAAAGAAGAAATGATGTCTTCTCCAGAAGCTACACCAGCGTGTCCACAAAACACAAGGTATATATATATATACATCCCTCGGGAGCAGCCAATGACGCATTTTGACCGCCGCGGCATTCTTACCGGGCGGCAGCGACTGTACGGGCCACAACAATCGCAGACTCGATCCCACACACCCAATTATATTGATCGTGAGGCGCGTTACATCAGCGGAAACCGTGGCGAGAGTATTGTTGCGGTTGTCGTTCTTGTTTCTTTGGCGCTGATCACCAGTTGAACCTTCAACTGATTACAGAGGAAGGAACTGTCTACTGTGAGGTACGGACATGTAACGACTGCAAGCTGCCCAATCCAGTCACGAAAGTTCTGTGTGAAGCATTATGCCGATTCTCAGCTAAAGATTCAACAGATACGGACCTTGTATGAGGACTCAGGAGAACTTGGGTGAAAGAACTGATGTAAGGGAATGATTGGAGACGTGTAACAACAGAACCAAACCAATTCATACCTCCTTGCGGCAACGGCCCGCCACTCTATCCCCGTTGAGCTCAGCCTGCTACTCCCCCAGCGAAAACCGCCAGTCCCTGCTTAGCGGGTACTCTGCCATTGCAATAATAACTTTCATCAATTGCACGCCCTGGTCAAGCGCTGCTTGCCTCAGCTGGGCACAGGCTTCGTGATCAACTTGGTCCATGTTCACGTACATGGTTTTGAGGTGAGTGACCCTCAATATCTCAATCAAGAAGCTCGCTTTCCGCGATCATTTCAGCCATCCTAGGGTCAGGATACATATGTAGTATGAAAACACTGTGCTGGGAAGATTGCGAGAGTCCGTGAATGGGACGCTGCGTGATGATGATGGTACAGACTACAGTGCCCGCGGGCGCGGATGAGACCAAGCAATGCAAGAGGCAACGTGAGAGGTGACCATATATGTAGTTGTCAGATTTACTATGTAATCTGATGGAAGAAGGTTATTTGGGTGAATGTTGATGATATTGTTATTTTATCGATTCTGATCATGTCTTGTCCAAGTTCTTCAAACAGGC